ATTGGTCTTCCAAAGCCCACGGTCGAAACACTCCCTTCCCCAACCATATCCCACACAGACAGAAACACCCTGAAACACGAAACCCAAACTACGAACCAAAAACATGGTCAGCGACTGATTCAAACATGCAATCAAATCGACGAGCGAGACGGCAGAACCTTCACCAATACAAAACTTCTACAAACACGAAGTCAAGATGACAAACTAGGTCCACAAAAAATCTAGAGAAAACCTTACCTTTGCAAGCAAAGGAAAGACAGGGAAGGACGAGCAAAAGAGAAAGGAAAAACAAGAAGCAATTACACAAACAATGGTTATTGGCTACATTTGATCTGATACAATCTGTTAACGTCTATGCAGCCCAAATCCATTGTGGGCTTCCCGTTAATTTCTGTCCCATTTAATATTACTAGTCAGAGTTTATTTGACTCTCCATTTACCATTTTAATCTAAATATGAAAGAAATGTAAACCCATAAAAATAAATATTAATTATTATATATGTATATAAATAGTGAAATGCATACTTGAACGTGAGTATTAGAATTACAACTAAATATATAAATGAAGATGAATGACCAATACGATATATGAATTAATGCCAAGGAACATATACGTGATAATGAATGTCAAATCATTTATATTAAATAAATATAATTTAATTTCCAATTAAGTGAAATTGGATTCTAATTAGCATATATGAACGTGACTAATGAACTGTATTTTTGAATGCGAAATTTTAATTAATATTAATTAAATGAACATGAAAAGTTTAATTGAGAATTAATTAGTGTTTTAAAAATCAAATCAGCCCGATAGGTTCAATAGGGAAAATTGGTAATTAGGATCAAATTGGTCCAGTTAGGCTTATAAAACCGCTAATTAAAAATCCACCCAAAAACCCATTAAACTAACCGATTTTTAGAAAACCTGTGACCCGTTCCCAATTCAACAAGTTCAACTTATGTAAATGTGTGTCTGTCTATATCTTCTATATATTAAAAGTGGATATATAACGGAATTTCTTGTTTTTAAAGGAAAAATTAACGGAATTTGTTGTTTTAACGGACTATGTAACGGAATTTCTTGTTTTAAACAGGTAGCTGCACCTTCGTTCAGTGTTTTTATCATAACTTTGTATTTCGATATCCGATTGATGCGATTCAAAATGCGTTGGNTTTTAAACAGGCAACTGCACATTCTTTCAGTATTTTTATCATAACTTTGTATTCCGATATCCGATTGAGGCGATTCAAAATGCGTTAGAAAGCTAACTCATCTGGCTACAACTTTGGCTCAGACATCATTATCCAATTCGATCACTTTTTATGCCAAAAATAGGTCTCAATATGAGACTAAAACATCGGAGCATAACTTTTCGATTGGAAATTGATTTGTGATCATAACTAAATTTGATTCCATTGACGTCTTCCTTTATCCAATTGACTCCGAACACTCTCAAATCTTCATCGTGAGATTCCACACAACTTTTAAGTATTTACATTTTAGTCTCCGAACTTTAGATCACTTACAATTTAGCCATTTCTCCAAATTTGTCAACTTTTGCTTATTTTCTTCAATCTCACCAACTTACATCACAAA